AGGCAAATCCACCTACCAAGTCCAGAATTCTGCTCTGGATCATTTTCGATGCGCGCCTGCTTTGGACATTCAGAAACTCAGGACGCTGGTCTTTTGAAGGGACCTGTTCAAGGCGTGATTGAATAATTGAGCATTCTGGAGCTCAGCATATAGATACTGAGTCCTCGGCACGATTGCAGCCACTACAAATTTTTAGCTATAAAAATAGACTTCTCAAAGACACTATTCAAGTAGGTCTTTAGAAAAGTAATTGCTGCCAAAAGCGAACCAATCGAACTCCATCTTATCCATGTCTGCTTCTAAATCAGGAAAAAACATCAGAATTAGAAGAAAGAAAAACAATTTGAAAAGAGAAGAATCAAGGAAAAATTGACTTGGTTAGGGGACTTAAAGAGGCGTTAAATTTTTATCAACATTTGAACATAACAGAGAGAGACCTGTATTGGTTTAGGCCGGAGGGGGATCTTCTCCGAAAATGCCCAACTGGAGCCGGCATAGTTGTTCCCACAGGTGTCCATTGTTTTGAAAAAATACGAATAAAATAAAGCACATCAGTTTCTAATAGCAAAACTGAAATATCAAGCTCAAAAAAGTGACGCCCCTTTATTCTTCCTTTCGCCGAAGACGTTTTCTCGAAATTGATTGCGGACGTCGTGGCGCATCATCGCGCACCTTGCGGCCTTGTCCAGTATGCAATGTCCTTCTCCGGATTCTAACATCCTCTCAGTCTCCATAGGTCGCAACTTCTGTGATTGGTAGAATGGCGAAGTGTCAAATTATAAAATTCTCTCTAAATTCCTCAAATGAAGAGAAAAACTAATATGCATTTGGACGGCCAGCATCGTCGCTCCAAGCGCGAAGGCTTGAATCGACCCAAGTGCTTCTGCTATCCGGATCGGGGTTTGGAAAGCCAGGAACAACGTAGCCGGGTGTGTTCGACATTTTTCCTTTGGAGTCTTAAAAAGAAAAGAGTATATTCAAAGACGTTTTCCTTTCATTCAAATCGTGGGTTATAGTGAAAAAATATTTACTTCAACCTCGAATGACAGATAAGTAAACCCACCAAAGGTTATTGCAAGAAAGGAGGTGGGGTTCGAATTATAAATATCATAAGATGCATCACAGTTCAGCGTAATATAAGAACAAATAATTAAGAGCATCCAGTTCAGAAGAATAAACAATTAAATCTCCGTTTGCCCTAGCCAGTCATGAGGATCTGGCGCACGCTAAATGCTCAGATTCATTTGATTTCTAAAACGGGCAACTCACATCAAGTTTTCGTCCAGTCGTTTACGGCTGCGGTTTGGTGGTATTGCTCATGGTTTCGTCGACTCCAACTTTAGTGGTATTAGCACTTTATTGTTGGATTTTCCTGGACAACATGTTGTCAAAGTAATACTTATTATATTTAACTTATATTTAACTGCGAATATCGTACTAATAGCGTACTAATATCGCTGCCGAAGAATTTCAACAGAAGTTAGTGACTCCTGGAATGTTGCCCCGCACTCATTGACTGATGACCGAATGGTAGCACGAGTTGAGGAGGGCGTTGGTAAAGGGGGAGGAGGAGGATGGAGACGAGCGTCTCAGGTGATCAAGCATAACGAAATGAGGTAGAATGGTTGTAGGGATGCTTAAGACGGAAACAAATTCCCGGGGAATTGAATTATCGAAATGATCTACTCGATCAAGGTCAACTTGAGAAGAAGCGCGGCACGGCGCGCTAAAGCACTGCTAAAGCAGTCGATAGTGGCAGTGTAACATAAATGCAGTAGTGAAACTTTGCTCTCCAAGTCGCTGGCCTTAGCCTACAATTTCAGTTTATCCCTTTACGCTTTATCCGGCTAATCTAGGCAAGTAACCCTCGAATCCGAGTATCGTTTCAAGTCAACACACTTGATTAATAATGGTTTGCTTAATTGAAACAGGAGCAATACAAAAAGAATGAGAGTGATCAGAGAGACAGTATCACAAAACAAATAAAGGACCAAATTACTATTACCTGGGTTATTTATATAGGGAAGGTTAGGTTAGGTTGCAGCTGGGTTACATACATGTCCTACATCTACACTGACAGCCAGTTGTGGAATTAGGGCTACGTTCCAGTGCAAGTTACACTAAAAGCACTGCACCCCGAACCAAGGACCAGTGAGTCCTTGAAATTGAAATGACCAACATAACCTACTAATCTTACTTTGCTCCACTTCAGTTTCGTTATTTCACTTTTTGTTTGTTGATAAAAGCCTAACAGGGCAAACTAAAACCACCCCATAGATGTTGAAAACTTAACACTAATAAACTAACAACTAACACCACAAAAGAGAACTAAAAGCTATGGAAATATAGTGGCTAGTAGTAGATTACCGTGCTCCCATTCATTAACTTACCTGTTTGGCTCCGCTCGTTATCGCACGCATGTCAAAGAGGCATCAGTGGAACTGAACATATGGGCTCTTGTGCTAATAATACTAGTCAAACTGCTCAGTTACTTGCTGCTTGGGTTTGACCGATTTTATTAACAAAAACTGGTGATGAAGCAGTCATTCCCGTAGCTCGCAATACGAAATAATGACTTTGGGCAAACTGACATGACCATGCGGTCGAATGATGACTGAAATAACCAATACGAATACTGCAGCTATTGACTATCAACCCTTAACGTGAACAACTACAACAAGTACCATGCTTCAGATATTGGGATGGTTTGGCAAGAAAAATTTCGACACTGAAAGATAAACAAAAATACTTATCGTATTTCTGAAGACACCAGACCATCTAAACGGCAAACTCGGGCTTGAACTGGTGTATAGGAGTACTTATAGTGATAGCTGCATTGCGGAGTGAAGTAAAGAAAGAATAAAGCAGGCGGAATTATCAAATACGCGAAATTAAGGATCCAAACTTCGCGAAACTAAAGTAAAGGACGGACGTGATACGGCGAGGAAACAGGGGAGAGAGCGCGCCGTATGAGAGAGCACGCTGATCTCCACATCAATCGCGATGGATGGGGAGCAGGGCGCTTAGCGAACGTTGAGGGTCCTCGATAGGTCGACAAGGGGAGGAGTCGTATTATTTTGGCCTGTTGGGAGGAAGAGATGGTGCCGAATCAACGCAGTCGGATCATCATTGTCGTAGGACAAACATCGAGGAAGGATCGATGCCAGGGTAAAGCCACGCGTCGAGGAAAAACCAATGGCTCCTCTCAACAAATGGAGCAAAAAAACACGAACTAATCATGAAAGCAGCATACTATGACGTGATATCTCTTGTTCCTTTATTTCTTTAAGAAGGCTTACTAAGACGTTTTGTTTGACAGAAGCCTCGTCATCGCCTCAGTCATCTGTTTCGGTTCACCGATCGGGGTTGACCTTAGAGAGCTATTACTCATTGACTGAAACTATTGAGATGACATGTGTACACATTTTCGATCTAAAAGCAGATTTGGGTATTCAAGAGCTCTTTTTCAATTAGTGGTCAAATTATAAGATTGATACGAAATGTCGGATTTAAATTGATTGACGAGGAAAATTCTTAACGGAAGCAAGTATTTCCAATTTTCACAGCCATAACGTTCTTCAGGCTTGCCAAATCCTAAAAGCTAATTTAGAACTTGCCCTATTCACGAGTTGTCGAAATGACTTTATCTGCGGTGTATTTCAAAAATGGCTATAATGAGGGCTTCTGCCCGAGTACCGCAAAGTGGTTCTCTTTCGCCACTCTTTCAACGACTGTGGCATCTTTAAAGGCAAAGGTCGGGCTTAATGACCAAACCAACCCTTTCGGTCATGTACTTGTTACGCACCAGTACAGATGTTCCCACGCTCAAAATCTCGAACGGCGCGGTAATAAGGCCCCAGGGCATGTACTATGCGCTATCGCCGCCTGGCCCCGCTACGACCGCCCACCTTGGGATGTGGTGCATTGCTGGCATAGGGCGGGACCCGCGTGTTCATTGGTGGGTCGTAGGGTGATAATCATCAGCTGGGGCTTCGATTTTCTTTATTTGGGCTCATTCTTGCATTTTCACTTTTAGCTGATTATTTTATAGCTTTTCTCCGTTTTCGTATTGACGGATTTTTTGCTCACTTTTTTACTCTCCAAAATCACTTCATAAATCACTTTCCGCAGCTAGTTAGAAGCGAGACATCAAAGGAATCGCGCCCTCGCGACTATAAATCTTTTTCGGATTACTTGCTTTCTTAGCTTCCTCTGTTTGGATGGATTCTTGAAACAATGACTTTATCGAAGTCATGAAAAAGTGTTCCCCGCTTTCTGATTCACGACGACGACTATGAGCTGTCCGGTTGGTTTACCTTACACCAGCCTTAGCAAACTCAGACGCACGTGAGAATCCCACTGTCGGCCACCGAGAGGGTACGACCCCCCTCCCTCCAAGCTCAACTGAGTACGACCCCCCCGTTGTTACTCGTAACAACGTAGGGTTGACCCTGGTTCCAACTCGTTGCTGCATTCGCAGCGCATTTGTTGCAGCATCTGAAGTTGACGGATAATGGAATAAAAACAAAGATTTTTTCTCGTTAGGTGATACTAACAAACGGGTGTGGTTCACTAGGACAGAAAGCGACTTTTTCGCGTTTCGCAGCGCGAAACATTTTTCGCTGCGGGAACCTCAGGTCCACCGCTGATCATCAGTGGACCCGAGTTCCCGCAGCGAAAAATGTTTCGCGCTGCGAAACGCAAAAAAGTCGCTTTCTGTCCCAGTGAACCACACCCCTAACAAACCAATTCACCCGCAGCAAAAGCTTTATAGTAAGCAGAATCTGGTGCCACGGGAGACAGAAAAGGTAGCAGATAGCATATTGTGAAAAACAACGTCATCAGCCTTGTTCCAAGTAGACAGCAATCCATAATATTTTCCGAAACAAATTGCTAGATTAGGGTTTACTCACGTGCGTCTGAGTTCCTAAGGCTGGTGTCAGAGTTTCGCTGATTTCGCGATTTGTGTAACAAGCTGCATGAAGAAGAGCTCAAAGAAGGAATTTCAGCTGAATCACCTCCCGCTAAATTGCATAGTGAAAACATGCCTTCCTTCAGACGTATTCTCTCTATTCAATAAGAAAAGGCACAAGGAAAAATCCATGAAAAAAGGACGTAAGGTAAACCAACCGGACAGCTCATAGTCCTCGTCGTGAATCAGAAAGCGGGGAACACTTTTTCGAGACTTCGATAAAGTCATTGTTTCAAGAATCCATCTAAACAGAGGAAGCTAAGAAAGCAAGTAATCCAAAAAAGATTTATAGTCGCGAGAGCGCGATTCCTCTGAATGTCTCGCTTCTAACTAGCTGCGGAAAGTGATTTATGAAGTGATTTTGGAGAGTAAAAAAGTGAGCAAAAAATCCGTCAATACGAAAACGGAGAAGAGCTATAAAATAATCAGCAAAAATGAAAGAAAATGCAAGAATGAGCCCAAATGAAGAAAATCGAGCCCCAGCTGATGATTATCACCCTACGACCCACCAATGAACACGCGGGTCCCGCCCTATGCCAGCAATGC